ACAACATCCCGATGCGGGCAGTCCCTCGCCTCGTACCTACGTCGAGTTGTCACCCTGCTTGGCCTGAGCATGCCTGTCAGGTTCGCTTGTGCGCCACAGTCTGCCGCGGCCCCACATCAACCCCGCACGCCCAGCACCAGCTCATCGGATCGCCCAACTCTCTACTCACCTGCCAACTTCTGCTCGTTAGTCGATCCTCTCGACCACGCTAACTCCAAAAGATCTTAAAGAGGGAAATTAATCGTGCTTGCGAGATTTATAGAATGCATGCTTTGCACGAGATACTCGGGATCGTGTTTTGGTGGGAGGAAGAAGGAGGAAGGAAGTGCCTACGCCTGCATGGCCAGTCCGCGGCGTGGAGGATGTAGCCACACTCCACACACCGATCCGGTCATGCAAGCGTTCAGGCCAATAGGACGGAGGAGAGGTATGTGCGCGCAAGGGCACCACAAAAGATATCAAGAATGAGAGGATTACAATTCTGATCACGCCCGCCAAAACAAAAATCACAGTTACACACGAGATTAAGGTGCGGGAAAGCCAGAACACAGTTCCCGACGTGGTAGAGCGTGGGCAAGCAGGAAACGCCGCGCAACTGAAATTGAGATGCGCCCAAATTCCTATTCTAGGTCCCAATTACAAACAGAAAAATCCGAGCGAAGCAAATTGCGAGAGGCCGCAGGGGCTCGACATCAGTTGAAAATTCAAAAAGATTTCCCCGCGAGACAATTGCGTCGAAATTCCCATTTCCCACAGTAGAACAATAAAGAAGCTATGACAATTGTTTATTCATCGTGCTTGCTGAGGTGCGATCAACTATCAACCGTCGTGGGTCCAAACCAGCCTTCAATCGAAAGAGACAAGAAAAAGCAAGGGCATCCATGCAAACCGCCAGGCCATTCCGACTCAGCCATTCCCCCCCCCCCCCCCCCCCCCCCCCCTCCCCTAAGCGCGATCTTTCCCGTCGTCGTTGTTGTCATCAACGGGGGGGCCCGAACCCAACTACCCCTGTTTSCAGGCATGACAAAGTGGGAAGAAGACTCTTTTATTTTTTATTTTTTTTATCTGTTGATTAGGGCCGAAGGAAAGCATTGTTGGGTTGGTTACCTCCCTCCGTTTTCCCCCCCCCCCCCCCCCTTCCTTGATACCGCCTTGCGCAGAAATCCGTGTGGTTGTTGAAAACAGTTTGTCACATATGTGACGCCCAAGGGGTTCCAATCTTGAGCAAACTCCCGCTTGCTCCGTCATTTACTGGTCTTAAAATTTGCCAACGATCATCGTGGGGTTGTCACGTGCCATTTACTGTAAGATGAGAGTGTGGAGGTCATCCAAGGTGGCATCGCGAACCCCGATCCTAGAGGTTGTCGGGGAAAGGCAATCTGATGACGGAAGGAGGGAGAGGAGGGTGAGCTTGGGGGAGAGGCGGTAGAAAGCGACTCCGCTCCTGATCCCCAGTGGGGAGCCGGATGTAATGGATGGTGCGATGTATGCCGGGGAAGCGGTGATCCTGGTGAGGGAGGGAGGCGAGGTAATCAGGATAGAGAGTGCACAGGGTGCGGGGGATCGCAACACGGAGATCCTCATAACCTTCGTACGCGGGGATTACGCCCGAGATATTCTATATTGTTGTAATCTCGCCATGCCGCGCTGAAGAGGAGGACGTGGAGGGGAAAATAGGTTACGATGGATTGAGTGGAGGCGTGCGGGAAGATGGTGACACCAAGATGGGTAGAGTAGAGAATTAATGCTAGAGCTGCGCTAGCGCTAGCGCCCCAACGTCGGCGGACCGGTAGGGCCCGGTCTCCTCGGCTCGACTAGCGCCAGGGGAGAATAGTTCCCTGACTGCTGGGCCTGCGCACGTGCCCGATAGGTGCGAAGTGGCTTGTGGCCACTTGGCGCCTGTTGTATGGTGATACTGACGTCCCGTGACATGTCAGCAGGGGTAGCGTCAGTCGTGGGATTACATAGTGTAGAACTGTGTGTGTGGCGCAGCTAATGGGGGGAGAGATGGATTTGGTAGGGAAGCTACAACAACAAGCAGTAGAATGGATTGCCACATTGGAGGAGGGATGCAAGCAGATGCAGACGATAGTGGGATTGCTTATGCAGCGGCAGCATGAAGGGGGGGAGATCGATGGGGGAGCGATCTCGATGGACCAGTGGTTGGAAGATAGGATTCAGGAGTTGTTGGACATCATATGGGAGCTGGAGGATGGGCCGGATCCCCGGCTTCACGTCGAGGCGGGCGGATGATAGGTTGGCTGCTTGCAGAGCCCTCTTCACATTGGGGCGAGATCTGCGCAATCAGATAGAGTATCGGTATGGACTGTTGGCAGATGAAGATGATTGCGTTGAAAATATAGATAACAGTAACAACATCAGTTACAGCGACATCAACGACTGGGAGGATGTCAATAATAACAAGGAGGGGGGGGGCGACGTCCACGGCTGCAGCATGATAGGAGCGGTACGACAGGAGGACGTGGAAGATAATGGACACACCAACAACAAAAACGACAACAATGACAACAACAACAACAACAACAATATCAACAATATCAACTATAGCGATGGTGCGCAGGGATTGGGATTGGGCGAAAATTCCGCGAAATGGGTGAAGGGGGTGCGAAGGATGACAATAACATCAACAACGGTGACGAGAACAACACCAACGACAACGCCAACAACAACAATATCAACAACAGTGACATCATCAACAATGATTGCGACGATGGAGGCTATGACAGCCATGGGATCGGCGGGAAAGAGAGGGGAGATGGGGGGTGCGACGTCCACGGCTGCAGCTTGACGGGAGTGATACTGCAGGTGGGTGCGGAAGACAATGGAGTTGTCAACAACAACAACAACAACATCTACACCAAAAGCGGTGATCGTGTCAGCGGCATGCTCAGCAGCAAGGTGTGTGCATCCGCTTTTGCCAGTTGTATGGGGGGTGAGGGGAGGGGATTGGCTGAGGTCGATAGAGAATGGATGGGGATTGGAAGAAATGGACTGATGATTTCCCCCTCCCTCGGACCCTACCAGTTTGGCTGGCATCGGGTTGGGATAGGATAGTTGCCGCTCCCCGCCCCCTTGGTTGGGTGGGGTTGCCCGGTCCACAACCTCATTGAAGGAGGGGGTGGGTCGCCCCTCGGGTGGTGTGATTGCCTGCTAGGGATGTGGGATACGAATTTTGATTTGGGTCTCCTTCCCTTTCGCAGGTGATCCCTCTGCTCTTTTTCAAGATACAGGAAGGACCGTATTGCTTTTGTGATTGCACAAATGTCATGTGTGTTTGACTCCTCGCCTGCTGGATTGATGTCTCATTTTGGTTGCGAGGCTCCATAGATCAGATCGATAGGGACGCTGGGCTCGTCTTCCAGCACATACAGTCATACCATGGCACTAGGACGATGGACCTGATTTCCAGCACATATAGTTTCATCATTTGGATAGGGTCACTAGTCACAGTGTTGGACTACTCATTACATCAAGATTACGGTTTCGCCTGATAGGATTGCTGTCTCGTTTTGTTTGTGAGGTTGTATAGATCAGATTGACAGGGATGCTGGACTCTTTTTCCAGCACATACCATGGCACAAGGATGTTGGACCTGATATCCAGCAGATATATTTTCATCATTTTTATAGGATTAGGGTTTCGCCTGAGAGGATTGCTGTCTCGTTTGTTTGTGAGGTTCTATAGACCAGATTGACAGGGATGCTAGACTCTTTTTCCAGCACATACATTCACACCATGGCACAAGGACGCCGAACCTGATTTCCAGCAGATATATTTTCATCGTTTGTATAGGGACGCTGGACCCCATTTCCAGCAGGTGTAGCTCCCCACCAATAGATGGAGCCTTCACCGCTGGGGCCTACTTACCAGGGATGCTCTTATCGTTTGTATAGGGACGCTGGACCCCATTTCCCATATACGAAGTAGGGCTGGTGGACGAGGGAAGGAGGAAAAGGGTGCCGGTTGGAGGGGAATGGGGGCCGTCCAGCGATCTGGTGGATGGCGAGGTAATCAAGGGGATGACGGGATAACAATCGAGGGCGCAGCCCGAGTGCCCGCATCTCCACATAGGCGAACGGTGGGCCACTGTGATGGAGGGGATTGAGCCGGCATTGGACTTCTTCTGCGGCATCTGCTTCTGGATCCCTCCGCAGTGGAGACGCCATCTCCTCCGGACTCCTCTTGTGGTAACTCCGGATTGCATGCTGGATCGTCTTGCAACAGCCTCGCGCCTGGCTCCTATGACTCTTGTACTGGGCGCTTCCGTTATGCCTTCTCCTGTCGCCTCTGAGCCGCGGCTTCGTCTTCCTCCTCACTCTGTCCACCGGAACCGCCTGATTCGTCCAACCCACTTCCTTCCGACCCGGTTTCCACCGATTCCCGATAGTCCGGGTCGTCCGATCCGGCCTCCGAGTCCTCTTCTTCTTCATTCGTGTCTTCCCTCTCTTCCTCCTCTGCTTCTTCTTCTTCCTCTTCTCCCTTTCCCACCTCCACTCTTCGGATGGTCAGATCCCACAAAGTGATACTGGTCACATCGATGACCAAATAGTCGCCCGACGAAGGGAGGTAGATGTTATCGTCGTCGAGTTCCGTGCACGTGGACCACAATAGTTGTGGGGTAAACGTTCGAGGGAGCGCCGCGGGCGTGGATCGTTCCTCACAGCGCGAAAGGATATCCAGAGGTAGATCGTCCACGGGTTGGGCCAGAAACACCAGAACTTCGCTTGTAATTGGCTCGAGATGTCCATCGCGCACCTGCTCGAAGAGTATCCCCAGCAGCTCCCCCTCCGTGTCCGTCCTCCAAGCTTGGACGATCAGCAGCTCCACATCATCATTGGGAACTTCGTCTTCCTGCCGGCTTAGCTCAATGAAACATCAACTCGAGAAGGCAAAAGTTGAGCGAGACGTACACGTGCCACCACTCTGTCCACTTGCTCGCGTCCAGGATTGGTACGTCCAGCTGCCTGATTCGAAAGGAGAGGGGAAGGTCCATAACGGACTGCCAGAAAGTAGGGAGATCGGAAGGAAGCTCGAAGGTCGAAAGGCGGTGTCGGACACTGCCGGTTCATTGAGGCGGCATAAAAGGAAGAAGTTACAGGAGGATGATCTCTTGCGTGTCAGGAAACATCTGGAGTTGGCTGAGATCGATATCCTTGGTGGAATTGATCCGATCGCCCGGTTAGGCTGAGATCGATGTCGTTGGTGGAATTGATCCGATCGCCCAGGCGGCCGTGAGATCCCGCGCCCAGAGTCCCAATTGCTAGAAGATGCATGTATGAGCCGTCGGATGCAAAGTCGTAAGATCTTCGGTGAAGGTGACGATCACTATCACGTGGCTGACACCTGGTGGAGACAGCCGCAGGGAAGCCGATACTTCGACCAATACTCTCGCCTGCTCGCTAGTTCGTGCGAACCGAAATTCCACCGCCGCATGGATGGCCCGCCGTGCTAAAGAAAGTCGTAAATCAGAGCAGATCTGGACTTAATCATGGCCGTTGCACCTGTCATATCAACGAAATGTGGCCCCCGGGTCTCATTAAGCGCTCGTTGATGACCTGCTCGGTAGAAAAACTCATGGCGATGGGGGAGAAGTTGGTGATGGAGGTTGAGAGGAAGGGGAGTCAAAGTATTCGAGCTCGAGGTCGTCGTCTTCCTCCGCAGAATCGAAGGATGATACGGACGATGGGAGAGAAGGAGAAGGAGGTAACGAACGAAGGTAGGACACGTGTCGGATGATCGGTCGAGCCGATCGACTTCCCGAGGCCTTTGGCGCAAGCCGCACCGTGTTCACTCCACCAGGACCGAGCTCGACTACGGGAAATCACCCGAAGAATCGTGGCGCTAACTTGCCTTGGCGAGCACATTTCCTCACCTGCACTATGTCCCCTAATTTGTACTGGGGCCGAGGTCCGGCGTTCCCATTTCAGGCCTCATAACTTTGGACCTGCCGACCATAGGTCATTTCGGTCATCCGCTGTCTTTTTTGGGCTAACCGGGGGAGGGTTTTTTCCATTAATTCCAAGTGGCGTTGGGCCTTGTCTTTGACTATCGCTCTCGTAGTCCGCCTCGCAAGGGTCGTTTTGTCATTCAAGTTTGGCAGGGTTACACAAGCCAAACTATTGGTCCGTAACTGAAAAGGGGTCAGGCCAGTGGACTCATGAGGGGTCCCCCGGTGGATAGCTAGGATATGGTCTACGATATCGGGCCAAGGTCTCGTGTCACGTGCCGCGATATTTCCTCGCAAGGCGGTCTTAATGACTCGGTTCGCATTTTCTGCCAGTCCGTTCGATTGCGACATATGGGGAACCGTATTAAGGATCGAGACACCATGTATGACTAGGCTCCTCAAGACTTCCCCTCGGAATTCTGCCCCGTTGTCCGTTAAAATTTCCTCGGTATCCTGATGCTTTCCAAGGAAACGATTGACATATCGCACTATCTTCGCCGTCTGTCGCGTTTTACACAGGTAGGCCTCGATCTATTTCGAGAAATGATCTACGAACACCGAAAGAATTGAATATTCGCAACTATTCGGTCCATGGGGCATTATAATATCTGTTGTATCCATGTTAACCCTTTGGAACGGTCGCGCGACTATAGTGGGTACCATTGACCTAGGCGGATGAACCGACGCTTTATACTCCGCGCAGACTGGATAATTTTTTACGATGAATTTAACCTCGTCCTGGATGTTGGACCAATACCACTCGTTTTTGTGAATTGCAGCTTCCGTGAATCTGACAACAATGAGCGGCAGTTTCCTTGTGGGCCGCCTTAAACCAGTAGTACCTCATGAATGGATGAGGCACCAACATCCAAATCCCACTACCATCAATCTTTCGATTTTCTAACCGTCCGTTGTTCCTTCGATAGTCATGTGCCCTCTCGTTAGCTCGCCTCCAATCTTCCTTGGTGAATTCTCGGAGCGAGTTCCCTACCACCGTGGCTAACAAAACGACATCCGTTCATACTTTCGCTCGTCAAAATTTATGTCTCTTTTCCAGCCCTTCGGACGTGGCTTCGAGGAATCGAGCCTCCGTTGGGATTTTATCGGTTCGACACAAGGGACATAACCAGGTTTTATCTGCGTTTCTGTATTGGATACAGAAACCGTGGGCCCGAGAGACACACCGTCCACAACCTACCCACTCGGCATATCCTTCCCCACTAGGACGCATAGGAACCGAATAGACTCGCGATATTGCTTCACAAAAATAACAAAATTTGTTGGGCAAGGAAAAAACGAAGAGGATGATAGGGGAGAAAGAGGGCCCCTGGTATTACCTTCCCCACCCATCGTCATTGCGTCCACGTGTCACTACCAGGAGGGCCGGGGCAGAATGGCTACTTCTTCGTACAGGGGTCCCTTGGCTGGTTCCGACTTATTCCACGGAGTAATCTCCTCACCTTTTGCCACCTTGCTTGGCTTGTGCAGTCGGGTCAATCCGTATGTGTTTCCGTGCTTTTCCGTCTTCCGATGAATGATGTTGAAGTCGTACTCCTGTAGCCGGACAGCCCATCGACTAATCATGCCCGTGTAGTTGGTGAGCCATTTGAGAGCTAGCAGGGGCTCGTGATCCATGACGAGGAGGAACTTATGTTCATACAGATACGATGGAAGTGTTGAATTCCCCAGACGGCCACGTAGCATTCGCCTTGCGGGGCAGAGTCATTCCTTCTCTCGTTAGGTACAGTCCGTGAAGGGTACTCAATGACGTGTTCGCAACCTTCCTTTCCCTTTTGGGCCAAAATAGCGGAAATCGCCTCAGGCTGTCACTCCGTAATGAGAATGAACTCTTCCTCAGGATCGGGCCGAATCAAAATAGGTGCGGAGGCGAGGGCCTCTTTCAAAGGGACAAAGACATGTTCCCACTCTGCATCCCACTTGAGTGACTGATCTTTCCGTAGGAGGTTTGTCAGGGGTCGAGTGATCACCGCGAATCCCTTCATAAACCTCCGGTAGTACGAGGCCAGCCCCAAGAATGCTTAAATCCGCGTCAGCGACGTGGGCATAGGAGCTTCTCGAACCACCTCAACTTTTCTCAAATCTGGCCACAAACCTCCTCGTGTCACCACGTATCCCCAAAACAAGATTACCAAGAGGAAAAACTTACTTTTCTCCAGCGCAATCTTGAATCCAGCATCCCACAATGCCCCGAGCGTCCACTCAATGTGCTAAGCATGTCCGTGAAACGATTCGGAATACACCAAAATATCGTCCATATCCACAATGACGAAGAAGTTGATCATTCCATGAGTCAGTCAGGTCTTATTGACGAAGTTTTGAAAGGAGATGTTCATCGCCCTCTGAAAGGTAGTTGGCTCATTGCATATTCCAATAGGGCAACGAACCCACTGCCAAGTGCCTTCGAATAATACGAATGCCGTTTTCGGCCGATCCTCCTCCATAACCAGGATATGATGGAACCCATTGCAGATATCAAACTTACTAAAATATGTAGCACACCCAATCGCATCCAACAGATCATCAATCTTGGGGAGGGTTACACATCCTTGATCATGATATCATTCAACTTCCTATAATTGATGCATATGTGAATCGACCCGTTCTTCTTTGGGACTAGAACTACAAGGAATGATCATGGTCCAGCAGCGGGCTCAATCCAACCATTAGCTTAAAATTCCCTGATTCGTTCCAACGCTGTTTTTCGTTCGGTAAGGGAGTACCGGTTTGGCTTGCAGTGGATGGGTGGGTGCATTCCGGCTTGGATTTCATGCTGAATAACTAACGACAACCCGATATCTGTGTCCTTTACGCTAATCGCTCCTTGATATTCGGTTAGGATATCTGCGATTAGTCGATGTGTTTCGTCGGGCACATACTGGGGCACATGTAGTTCATAAAGTTGTCCATGTATGTTAACCGTTATCTGTTTCGTACCCATTTTACTACCGTTCCCTGGCGGAGAAGCGGAGATGAACGAATTATCCGATCGCCAGGAGAACACCGTGGCGACCATTTGGGCATCTTCCTCCCGGATTGCCACGTGTTCCTCGGGCGTTATACCATCATCAATATCTCGCAAGTTTGCAGGCTTCTCGGTGATCTTGATCCCGAGTTGGTAAGGGTTGCTGCGCTCAAGGGGTTTCAAAGCTCCGTCTTCGGCACCCTGTCGCAGCAATCAGACCTCTTTCCTTGTAGAGAGAAGCGACCGGGGTAGTCCCGAAATATCGCAGAATGCTTTCTTATCACTGTATCTCGAGAGAAGCGGCGCGGTGGCTTCGTATAGGGTGGGGTTCCGAAGAATCAGCCATTCGGGATATCTGAACGAGAGGTTCCCCTAAGATTAGAGCCCATGTTCGTTGGAGGCTCCATTCCGTCAGGACGAAAGTTTTCGTCGTTTTCTGCCATACGGGGTAATGAATCAATTGGTGTACTGAATCCCAAATCTTGGGATCGGTTTCATTCTCACCTTCTAAGGAGCTACTTAACCAACCGCGCCTTTTTTCTCTCGTCCGTTTTCTCGACGGGTTCCCTCGAGGTGATTACATGGAGTGGTTCTCCACTTCCGGGGGGAGCCTTCCGGGTCGTAGTGAGTACAGTTCGGAGATTTAGACACATGAAGATAACATACGGCTTCCCGTCCGTGCTCGTCTTTCGAAGTCGAGGTTGGCTCTTAGTGCGGTAAGGGTCGGTAATCCTAGAAGAGCATCGTACGTATTCATTCACGTTTAATACCACGACATCTCCCAACGAGTGGACTTTTCCCAATCGAAACGCAACATTCGTCATCCTTCCTATCACGTTGATTTTTTCCTCGTCGTCGGAGACAAGGTGATCTCCTTCCTCTAACGGGATAAGATCCCTTCTTCTTCCTGCTCGTTCTACAACCCTCA